ATTTACCACTTTTGAAAAGTCTGTTTCCTCTCTGCCAGATTCTAATAGTAGACTTTTTGACATAGGGAGAACCATTTCTAAAATTAAAAAAAATTAATTTATAGACTCCTCTCTGCAAACACATAGAGGGAGAGTGGTAGTTGTTTTCCTCCTCTATCAACTGAGGAAATACAGGAAAAAGCAACTAGAATTTTCAAATGAGTTGGTATTTTATTTAAAATCTGTATTAAAAACTAATAAATTCATGTTTGAAACATGTCATTTAACCCATACACAAAGATTAGTGTGCAAACACTCCCAGCACCCATCATTGCTCCTCAGCTATCCAAGGAATTCAGATCCTCAACCTGGGAATAATAACAATGGCTAAAATTTATTAAATACCTAATATGTGCTAGGCACAGTACAAGGTGTGTTACATAGGTGATCTCATTCAATCCTCACAATGGTCCTATAAGAACAATTATTATCCAGAGGTGACGGGTGGGGAAATTGAGGCTAATGGCTAGAATGACTTGTTTAATGTACATATATACTAAGAAGGAGAACCAGGATTGGGATCCAAATCTGTGATGCTAGAGTCTACCTTGTTACTCTGTTCTGTTCCAAGGCAACCACAATATCAAGTCAGTGTGGGAGAATGCTTTATGACAGTGGCTATTGTGCTAGTCATGCTCCTCTTTCTGTGTGAATAAACTGGCATCCAAGCATCACCTTAATTCCAAAACCAGACAAAGACCCCACCAAAAAGGAGAATTACAGACCAATATCCCTGATGAACATGGATGCAAAAATTCTCAACAAGATACTAGCTAATAGGATACAACAATACATTAGGAATATTATTCACCATAACCAAGTAGGATTTATCCCCGGCATGCAAGGCTGGTTCAACACTTGTAAAACAATCAATGTGATTCATCATATCAGCAAGAGAAAAAACAAGAAACCATATGATCCTCTCAATAGACGCAGAGAAAGCATTTGACAAAATACAGCATCCATTCCTGATCAAAACTCTTCAGGGTGTAGGGATAGAGGGAACACTCCTCAACATCTTAAAAGCCATCTACAAAAAGCCCACAGCAAATATCATTCTCAATGGGGAAGCACTGGGAGCCTTTCCCCTAAGATCAGGAACAAGACAGGGATGTCCACTCTCACCACTGCTATTCAACATAGTCCTAGAAGTCCTAGTCTCAGCAATCAGACAACAAAAAGACATAAAAGGCATTCAAATTGGCAAAGAAGAAGTCAAACTCTCCCTCTTCGCTGATGACATGATACTCTACATAGAAAACCCAAAAGCCTCCACCCCAAGATTGCTAGAACTCATACAGCAATTTGGCAGTGTGGCAGGATACAAAATCAATGCCCAGAAGTCAGTGGCATTTCTATACACTAACAATGAGACTGAAGAAAGAGAAATTAGGAGTCAATCCCATTTACAATTGCACCCGAAAGCATAAGATACCTAGGAATAAACCTAACCAAAGAGCTAAAGGATCTAAAAACTATAGAACACTTCTGAAAGAAATTGAGGAAGACACAAAGAGATGGAAAAATATTCCATGCTCATGGATTGGAAGAATTAATATTGTGAAAATGTCAATGTTACCCAGGGCAATTTACACGTTTAATGCAATCCCTATCAAAATACCATGGACTTTCTTCAGAGAATTGGAACAAATTATTTTAAGATTTGTGTGGAATCAGAAAAGACCCCGAGTAGCCAGGGGAATTTTAAAAAAAGAAAACCATAGCCAGGGGAATCACAATGCCAGATTTCAGGTTGTACTACAAAGCTGTGGTCATCAAGACAGTGTGGTCCTGGCACAAAAACAGACACATAGAGCAATGGAACAGAATAGAGAATCCAAAAGTGGACCCTCAACTTTATGGTGAACTTCGACAAAGCAGGAAAGACTATCCTGGAAAAAAGACAGTCTCTTCAATAAATGGTGCTGGGAAAATTGGACATCCACGTGAAGAAGAATGAAAGTAGACCACTCTCTTGCACCATACACAAAGATAAACTCAAAATTGATGAAAGATCTAAATGTGAGACAAGATTCCATCAAAATCCTAGAGGAGAACACAGGCAACACCCTTTTTGAAGTTGGCCACAGTAACTTCTTGCAAGATACATCCATGAAGGCAAGATAAACAAAAGCAAAAATGAACTATTGGGACTTCATCAAGATAAGAAGCTTTTGCACAGCAAAGGATACAGTCAACAAAACTCAAAGACAACCTACAGAATGGGAGAAGATATTTGCAAATGACGTATCAGATAAAGGGCTAGTATCCAAGATCTATAAAGAACTTATTAAACTCAACAGCAAAGAAACAAACAATCCAATCTTGAAATGGGCAAAAGACATGAACAGAAATCTCACAGAGGGAGACATAGACATGGCCAACAAGCACATGAGGAAATGTTTCCCATCACTTGCCATCAGGGAAATACACATCCAAACCACAATGAGATACCACCTCACACCAGTGAGAATGGGAAAAATTAACAAGGCAGGAAACAACACATGTTGGAGAGGATGTGGAGAAAAGGGAACACTCTTACACTGTTGGTGGGAATGTGAACTGGTGCAGCCACTCTGGAAAACTGTGTGGAGGTTCCTCAAAGAGTTAAAAATAGATCTGCCCTACGACCCAGCAATTGCACTGTTAGGGATTTACCCCAAAGATACAGATGCAATGAAACCTGCACCCCGATGTTTCTAGCAGCAATGTCCACAATAGTTAAAGTGTGGAAGGAGCTTCGGTGTCCATCGAAAGATGATGGATAAAGAAGATGTGGTCTAGGTATACAATGGAATATTACTCAGCCATTAGAAACGACAAATACCCACCATTTGCTTCAACGTGGATGGAACTGGAGGGTATTATGCTGAGTGAAGTAAGTCAATCGGAGAAGGACAAACATTATATGGTCTCATTCATTTGGGGAGTATAAAAAATAGTGAAAGGGAATAAAGGGGAAAGGAGAAAAAATGAATGGGAAATATCAGAAAGGAAGACAAACATGAGAGACTCCTAACTCTGGGAATCGAACTAGGGGTGGTGGAAGGGGAGGTAGGCCGGGGGTGGGGGTGACTGGGTGACAGGCTCTGAGGGGGGCACTTGATGGGATGAGCACTGGGTGTTACTCTATATGTTGGCAAATTGAACACCAATAAAAATAAATTTACCAAAAAAATTAAGTGTAATAATGGTTTTTATGGGCTAAATGAAATAATGAAGTAGACCCTCTGATGAATATTCATTGTTTTTCAGTGACTCAATATTAGCCTTCCACTATTTTAGGATTTCATTTAGTGATCAATCCTGATGGAAATTTGAATCCAAGTGCCCTGTTTTTTTCCCTAATCAAGTGTCTGATGGAAGCTCAAAGATACACAGACTATTTCTCCTGGGACTTTGATTCTTATGTGGAATGAAGCATGGCTAAAAACTAAAATTAGAGTTTATCCTAAGACCCCTTCCACTCCATTCCCCCAAGAAATACTTGATTTCTGTCTTATCAGAGGCCGTCCTATATTCTTATCTTTGATTCTGTGAGCTTCCTCATATTTTTTCAATATACCAATCTGTGCTTGTTATAGTTGGTTTTAGCCATTTGCAAAAATAAGTTCTTAATGATATAAAACACCAAGAACAATCTCTAGCACATATTTTCTGTTGTAGAGTTTGTTGATATTACTATTTTCACAACTGAAATCCTCCCTGGCAGCACTTCTACCAAACCTTCTCTGGTCCTATGTGTGGGAACTAAGCACTCAGGACCTAATTATCATTGAGTGAATGGATACAATTTAGTTTCTAAATGTGATAGAGTAGTCAGTTTGCATTCATAGTCAGTCAGTGAAGGCACCCATGTGCCCACCAACTACCTTTCCGATATTATATGAGTGCAGATAATAGGTACCAGAGTGCACAAGGTATTTCAGAGGAAGAAGAGATAGATCTTTGAGCTTTGAAGAGAGGGTCTGAGCTAGGCTTTACAGCACTGTAACACTGGGACAGGCAATGAAGAGAAGGAGCAGATGTTACAGGCAAAGGGTGGAGAGACAGTATAAGCAAAGGCATGCAAGACATGTTTGGGGACAACAAATAGGCCATTTGGTTTGAAAACCAATCTCTGGCTGAAGCAGAAATTTATTATAGGATAGTGGTAGTGGATAACGTTTAGAAAGGCAGATTGCAATTAATTTTAAACATAAAATTCTAGACATAGTCAAGTTGCAAACACTTCTATTAAAAGAGACTCCTTTCAACATCATCAGCATTATCTCTACCCATTGCCAATCTGAAAATATTTTTTTAACATCTTCTGGATGTAATTTGGAACTATAGAATACTAGAGAGTTCTTGTTGCCCTTCAGAGAGGACATTTTGGAAACCATACATTCTTAGATAAAATTATCATATAATGACGACTTAGGGTCATTTCAAAGAACAGGTGCGGGTAAAATGTTCAGAAAATAGCACCTAAAGATGGAAAGTTTGTACTGATTGTACAAATTATACATGAATAATTCCATGAAGAAAAAAGGTTTAAAAACAGCTAGTAACTTCTAAGTGTTTTTATTATTTGCTTTCCAATAAAGATATGCTTTCATGCCAGGCACGAAATGTCCACAATATAAAAACCTAACCAGAATGTTTAAACAGATGCTTATCAGTGTTGGGAACTGCCATAAAAGCTATTATGCTGGTGATTTCCATTGTGATGGTCTCTACCACCTTATTAGGGGTCATAGCATTACTTTGTCCTTATTGAGCATAGAAAGTGGTGGTGGTAGGAGACTATAGGTTGCAAGTCTAAGGGTGGTGTTTGTAGAGGAGATTTGTTGATTTACTGATTAGCTACATACACATCTGAGTTCATTGTTCTCCACTTGGAAGCCCTTATGATAACCTGGGATTGGATGGTATAAAAAGTAAATCCAGGCTTTCCTAGACCAGTACCAATAATAGCCATGGCAAAGCTTATTCTCCTGACAGGTGAGTCTGCACTCAGAGACAGAGCCTTACTTTTACCTGATTTCCTTTTCTTTCTGCATCTGACAAGCCATGAAGGAGTCTTCACATTATACTTCTAGGGTGTTCCATTCTTCTTTCATCATTTCAAATTACCAAGAGAATCCTGACATATACGAATCAGTCTATCTTTTATTCCTTTAATCTCAGTTATCTCTAGTAACATTTCTACCTTCATTGATCCCATAGGCATTGTCCTAAAAGAAAGGCTTGTTTTCGTTCAATGCTTATCTTATTGTCATCCCTTATCGATTGTTTCTTGTTCTGTATTCATCTTCCTGCGGCCACCTCATTTTAATTGGTATTATTTTTATCTACATGCTTGCATCCTTGGTCTAGCTTTTCCAGGGATTAAAATCAGTAGAAATTATGTGTACTGTTTTTAGAGTTACTTGTCTTTTATCCTCTACTGTCCTACTGACTTGCTGATGTACCATAAAAATTTCAGCTAGAAACTCAGTCATTTAAAGGAATTAAACAAGTAGATTGTTTAGGACAATTGATTTATTTTTATTTTTTTAAGATTTTATTTATTTATTCATGAGAGACACACAGAGAGAGGCAGAGACACAGACAGAGGGAGAAGCAAGTTCCTCGCAGGGAACCCGATGGAACTCGATCCCAGGACCAGGATCATGCCCTGAGCCAAAAGCAGATGCTCAACCATTGAGTCACCCAGGGGTCCCTAGGACAATTGATTTAGAACAGTTGTTTAGAACAATGTGATTTACAACCCTTTTATAGTTTCAGAACCTTTTCTCAGTGAAACCTCTAATTCAATTTATAGAACAATCATGTCAGAAGTGCTCTGGTAAGACCAGGGAGAGGCATCTGGTCTTGCCTCACAGTTACTGGTACTTCTTTTCTACTGCAAGAGCTCCTAAAAGGTGGCTCCCCAAAAATTCCAAGGCTCCGGGAGACACTGATGCACTGCTTCAGAGGATGCCTTGTCTGTGGAAGGTTGTACTCATCCTGGTTCAGGGAGATGAAGCATGGATGGTTGTGTACTTATTGAGTAGAGTACATTCTGGGTAATTTCAGTAGAAATTCAGTAGATCTTCCATAGATAGTAGACTGTGAACTCTGCATTCAGGAATATATATTACTGACATGAAAAGTGGGAGAAGAGAAACCATGGCCATTTTTTACTAAGAGGAGGGAAGCGTAGATCTGTTGGTGCCTTCTTGGAAAGCCTATTCTTCAGCAGAATCCCTATATGCCACTGGGTTGTAACAACCTATGGCAAATAAGATGGCACCCAAGGCCTCAGAATTAGATTCCATACGGTATAGACAATTGATTCAGAGTGCACGTGTTTTCCTTCCCTCTAGGTCTGGCTCTTCTGCTGAATACTCAGCTAGGTAAGTCATGAGCTCTGTCTTTTATATTTTCCTACCATAAACCACAAATCTCTATAAATTACTCATAATGCAATTGTCTGAATAATGTATTTTTTAAAGTATATCAAGAGATAAGCCATATGAGGTAAAGAGAGCTACTGTCTACTTCATAGATGAGTTTGACATCGGGAGAACCTATTATTTTGGATTGACTGTCAGTGCTATCCTCCTTAGCATGACCACTGGGAGTTTAAGTTGGTATTCACTGGGTTCCACAGGAGTAATGGAGATCTTTTCTTACGTGGTTCGTAGGCTTAAGATCCCCAAATGACTCTGTTAAAGTAAAAAATAACTAATCCCAAGTCAGTGACTAGTTCCCAAGTTAGACTATTTTAACTCACTTGCAAGAGTATTTATATTAAATACCGCCACATAGAGTTCTGGCATTGAGGCAAAATGAGGGAAATAAAAGTAGGGCCCAAACTCACAGCACATTTCAGTGGCACCTAAATCAGGGCATTATTCTCACTTCTTACTACTCTCAGGTTCTGCTTACCAGTTGACATGCTACTTCACTAACTGGGCGCAGTACCGGCCAGGCCTGGGGAGCTTCAAGCCTGATGACATTGACCCTTGCCTATGTACTCACTTGATCTACGCCTTTGCTGGGATGAAGAACAATGAGATCACCACCATCGAATGGGATGATGTGACTTTCTACCAAGCCTTCAATGGCCTGAAAAACAAGTAAGAGATGGTGGAGATATCTAATTTGGTGTCTCCTAGGTCAGTGCTTCCCAAACATTAATATGCAAACAAATTACCTGATATCGTCTTAAAATGAGTTCAGATTCAGTGAGTGTGAAGTGAGGACCAAGATTCTACATTTCAAACAAGCTCCCCAATGATGCTGATGCTTCTGGTCCAGGAAACTACACTTTCAGTAGCAATGATATAGATAACATAGCACATTGCCTGCTTTCTAACATATTCAAAATATATCCGTTCTGTCTCTTCTTTTCCCTGCCAATATCTTTCATTATGACCCAAGAAACTGCAAGCCATCGTAGCTACTTATAAGAGAATGGAAGAATAGGAGAGAATAGGAGGTGGAAGATAATGAAGATTAGACATCACTGAGCCCCCAAATCAGAAATGTCTCTGTATCTTAAGAGTTCTATTTGTGTAAAAAGGAAACATAACAAAGAAACAATAACCCTGGTATCTTTTAATTTCTGGTTTTCTCAGTTTAGCTATTTCTAGGAAAAATAAGGCTACATACCATCACTACCACCAGTAGTGGTACTATCTTGAATGTAGCTGCTAGAATTAAAGCTGTGATAGAGAGGAAATAAACTCCTTTGGAATGGTATTTTTTGAAGTGTGATCCATTAACTCTGCATCAAAATCAGATGGGATACCTGATAAAAATGTCAATTCCTCCCATAGTTCAACTAAATCAGAATCTCTGAGAAAGGGGCTATAACACCAAAATTTTAATGATTTCCCACTCTGACCCTTTTATTCCATTCTTATATAAACTGAGAGCCACTATTCAAAAAATGTGCATAATTTTAATCAATTGATTTATATTCATTATCTTGGAGGCTGAGAGGGTAATTACGCTCAAGCAACATTTATCATTTCATCTGAAGGAACAGAATATGATTTAATTATGCTTTTAAGTTTTATATATATTATGTTGGCAAATTAAAACACAATAAAAAAGTTTTATAGATATTATGGCTAATGGATTCATATTTTTACAAAATCTGCTCTCATAGTTTGGATTTCCTCAAAGAATTTTGACTGCATTTATTATAGCCACAATTTTTGTTGTTATTGAAGTATAATTAACACACAGTGTTATATTAGTTTTCAGGTTTGCAATATAATGATTCAACAATTTTATACATTACTTAGTGCTCATTATGATAAGTGTACTCTTAATCTCCTTCCTATTTCACTCATCCCCCTATCCACCTCCCCTCTGATAACTACCAGTTTGTTTTCTATATTTAAAAGTCTGTTTTTTGTTTGTCTCTTTTTTGTTTGTTTTATTAAAGTCCACATATGATTGAAATAATATGGCATTTGTCTTTCTCTGATTGACTTATTTCACTTAGTATTATACTTAGTATTGGATAACAGCATAATTTTTATAAAGAAAGTCTTCAGTACTGATGGAAAATTATCCTACAGGATATCTTTTTTAAAAAATTTATTTTATTTATTTGACAGAAAGAGAGAGTACAAGCAGGTGGAGCAGCAGGCAGGGGGAGAGGGAGAAGCAGGCTCCCTGTGGAGCAGGGAGCCCAACGTGGGGCTTGATCCCAGGACCCTGGGATCATGACATGAGCCAAAGGCATGCCCAACCAACTGAGCCACCCAGGGGCCCCTATCCTGCAGAATATGTTATCAAGGCAACATCAAAGTATATGACCAGGCCCAATGCCAAAGCAATGTTATTTTAAATAGAAGGACTTGTGAATTTTGAAGCTTCTCTTTTCTATTCTTCACTTTATAGGAACAGCCAGCTGAAAACTCTCCTGGCCATTGGAGGCTGGAACTTTGGAACTGCTCCGTAAGTCCTCTGTGAGAGAGCCTGGTGTTCATTTGTTATTGAAAACACGTTATGTTCCTTAAACTTCACAATCTAAGACAGGTTATGAAGGATGTGTATTAAACAAATAGGCTACTGGGCTACTAGAGTAAATTACCAGAACCTCAAAATTATTTATTCTATACAAAATAAAATTATTTATTTTACATTTAGATGGATATTCTGGGATTCTATTCACAGCCATTTAGTTACTGAGATTTCAAAACAACCTGTTCCTAAAGTATTTCAAAAGCACAATCCCTGCGTAGAGTGTGATAGCACTCCTATTTATCTTCTAGGAGAAGAGAAGAGAAGTCATGCAAATAAACCAGAAGATTTCTTTGAGGGCATATGAACTTGGGGAGGGGGGGCGGCCAAGGTTTGGAGAGAGAACAGTGAGCTGGGAAGCCAGGTATTCAAAGCAACAAGTGCAACCTAGGAAAAAAATTAGAGCTGGGTAGATAACAAAATAAAGAGAACACTGAGGTCCCATGGCTGACTGAGCACTGATTACAAAGTAAGTACAAGAGAAAATCAGAAGCATATTTATATTCAGGTTGTGGGTCCTGGTGAAGAGCTCTGAGGTGGAAATATAAAAGTTTAATTTTACCACAAGGTGTTAGGATCACCAAGGCACTCCCTCACCTTTCTTTCTTTGGGTCTCCCTCAGCTTCACTGCCATGGTTTCCTCTCCTGAGAACCGCCAGACTTTCATTGCTTCAGTCATCAAATTCCTGCGCCAGTACGAGTTTGATGGGCTGGACTTTGACTGGGAGTACCCTGGCTCTCGTGGGAGCCCTCCTCAGGACAAGCATCTCTTCACTGTCCTGGTGCAGGTGAGGATGGAAATGGCAGTCTTTAGCCCAAGAAAATTCAAAGCCTTTTCTTTCCACAGAGAATCTAGTGGTTCCCAACTACAACTAAACTGGAATTTAGAATTATGGAATCTTCACATCGCAGATTCTTAGAGATCATGCCTTCATTCAAGAGCATTTCACAATGATAACAAGAACACATGTGTGCTATGTGCCAGGCACTATTCTGGTTTATTCTACTATTCTATTTTAAAAATTATAACTCATTTCACTTGTACATCTAGTCTATCATCTAGGTACTATAAGTATCACAATCTTTATTTACAGAGGAAACTAAGGTTTAAGTAAGTTGCTTAATACCTAGACCCTGATCAAAGATTTTCAAGCCCAATTCTCAGAAAAAGGTTCCCATACACAAATGTACACACACCCAGGGGTGGCAGCAGCTCCCCCTCCCAACAATACACACTAGTGTCCCCTAGGCAGCTAGGCCAGGCACACAATGATGGCTTTGACATGTCAAAGCCTCCAGCTATTCAAACACCAACTTGGATGTTGATGTGAAGCCATTTTGCAGATGTATTCAAAGCCCCTAATCAACTGACATTAAGCAAGACTATACTGGGTAATTTGCGAGGCTTGATTCAATAGCTTAAAGGTTTTAAGGGCAGAGGCTCTCCCCACGAAATCCCACCTGAGAACAGCAGCTTCAACCTGTGCCATGTGGGTTCCAGCCTGCACATGATATTCTCTGACAGCCAGGCCTGATTTTGTATTTGCTTATTATATTAGCTAGCCCCCCCCCAATCACATAGGCCAATTCTTTGTAATGAATCAAATGCACGTATACATACATAGAAAGTCTTGTAGTGGTTCTGCTTCACAGCTTTAGCCCTGGTTAACACCAATATTAAGGACAAGACCCCGCACCTAAGCTGAGGGGTTAGACACCTATGGAAGTCTCCCAGGAGCACTCAATCCACCCCCTCTCCAAGATATGGTTAAAGAAAAAAAAACCTAGTAGGGGTCATAACTACCCTTGTAGTCTGGCTACCAAGCCCCCTGCCTCTAACCATTGCACTAGACTGCCTATTATTACTGAACACCTACTCTGTCCCAGATACTGGCTTAGGTGTCAGGTTGAAGATAAGAATAAAATAATCCTTGGCTTTAGGGAATATAATATGAGGTGGCAGGTTGAAAAATAACCAGCAATTATAGTATGCTTTGAGTACACTACAGCAGGTATAGAGGGTACCTAATTGTACTCTGGGAAAGGATCGAGAAGAGCTTCCTAGAAAAAGTGACACTTGGGCTCAATCTTGAAAGCAACTGGTATTAGCAATGAATAGGGGAACCTCACAAATGAAGACATGTGGATGATTGAGTCATATGAGTCTGCATATGTGGCAAGAAACAGATCATGTGGGACTTGTATATGATGTTAAGGAATTTGGGTTATATCTCAAGGTTGTAGGGCAGCTTTGAAAGTAATGGAGAGATATGATGAAATTTGTGCTTTAGAAAGGTAACACTGGCTTAACCATGGAGGACGAATCAGAAGCAAGTAGGAAGGCAGGGATATAGTGCTGATGGCCCAAACAAAGGTTCTAACAGTGAGGACAGACAGGGCAAGTATACAAGGGACATTAGGAGGGTACAATCGATAGGATTTGGACACCAATTGGAAGTGGAAAAGAAAAATAAAATAAGATAATAAAAATAAAGGAAGTGGAAAAGAGAGGACTTTCAGTTTACTGACTTTGAGAAGGATTTGATTGTGTTTCTATTAACTAAAATGTAAAAACAAGAAGAGTAGATTTGAAACAAGAAAGACTCATTAATTTGTCTTTGAACACCAGGAGTGAGAGGAATCTGTAGGACCTCCTATAGGAATGGCCAATAGTCATTGAATGAATACCACTCCGGAGTTCAGGACAAAGAAACTAACTTTATATACTATATTAAAGTTATCAGCAAAAGCAAATAATTAAGAGATCACCAAGGAAAAGTGAATGGAGTAAGAAAAGCCAAGGATGGTTTTTAGATCTATTCTCTTCCAAGATAGATTGTTTCTACACCATCTCACATACTAGATCATCAGTCAGCCTCCAAAAGGTTTCAATGTTAAGTACTCACTAGTTGAAAAGTCGATCTACTTATTTGTTGAACAGCTCTAGGGATTAAAAAGAACATCTCTATTCTTAGCCAAAACATGCCCCCAGTCATAATTTATGACTTCTAGTCATTGGGAGTCTAGCTCTGCCCATCAAAATAACAAAGGATAAAACACCTTTTATAATTTGTCATTCAATATTTGCAAACTGCCATAACATCCTGCTTATAATTTCTCTTCCTCAAATTTAAATATCCTAATTCCTTTAACCAGTATCACATGACAATTCTCAGACCCACCCTTCACTCTGACACATACTAATAATACAATTATAAAAACTGAACCCAGTCCTCCAAATGAGATTAGAGTCACCCAAAGTAAATATGCTAGTGCTGGATGGGAACCTATCACCTGGTAACCACTTCCTTTTATTGGCCAAATCAGCTTTCATTTGATGGGATGTCAGTCCTATGAAGTAATTTGTTTACTGGATGAAGGGAAGCAACATATATACTGCCAAAAGCTGGATATAGGTTACTGCAGCAAATTCAGAATATAGTGATATAAATGGAGCTCTGACAGGTCACCTGGGACCTACATCTGATCATGACCTGGCTACTAACTTGCTCTGGGACTTTGGTGGAATTGTCTAGCATCTAGTCATATTAGATAGCTATAAAACTGATTAATGTCATCTAAAGTAAGACAAAATGGATAAAGAAGATGTGGTTTATGTATACACTGGAATATTACTCAGCCATTAGAAACGACAAATACCCACCATTTGCTTCAACATGGATGGAACTGGAGGGTATTATGCTGATTGAAATAAGTCAATCAGAGAAGGACAAACGTTTTATGGTCTCATTCATTTGGGGAATATAAAAAATAGTGAAAGGGAATAACGGGGAAAGGAGAAAAATGAGTGGGAAATATTAGAAAGGGAGACAGAACATGAGAGACTCCTAACTCTGGGAAACGAACTAGGGGTGGTGGAAGGGGAGGTGGGCAGGGGGTGGGGGTGACTGGGTGACGGGCACTGAGGTGGGCACTTGATGGGATGAGCACTGGGTGTTATCCTATATGTTGGCAAATTGAACACCAATAAAAAATAAATTTATAAATAAAAAATAAATAAAGACAAAATATATGAAAATATTTTGAAAAAGAAAAGGGTGATACAAACTTATTATTTAAGGGGCTGAAATCATATGCATAGATGACTTACCGTATTTGATTATTTTATAGGAAATGCGTGAAGCTTTTGAGCAGGAGGCCCAGCAGATCAACAAGCCCAGGCTAATGGTCACTGCAGCAGTCGCTGCTGGTATCTCCAACATCCAGTCTGGATATGACATCCCCCAGCTGTCCCAGTGAGTGATTCACTTTATCCTCAAACTCACTTTTGCAAAGTAGACTTGTCCTCAGTCTCTCTTACTATTTAGGGACCTTGTTCAGGAGGCTTTGGAAATGGTATCTTTTGCCTACATAGGAAAAGACTATCACAAATGTTTTTAAATCCTTTAGGTACCTGGACTACATCCATGTCATGACCTATGACTTCCATGCCTCCTGGGAGGGCTACACTGGAGAGAACAGCCCCTTATACAAATACCCTTCTGACACTGGCAGCAATGCCTACCTCAATGTGGTGAGTCCCTGCACACATGCAAATACAGACCAGGTATGGCTGTATATCACATGGAGATTCAGGGACAAAACAAATGAAAATTCTACAAATATCTCACTTGGATAACTATCCGTTCTAGGGGCTAAGCATATCTCATTAACTATAATTTCACCAAAATGCTTTGAAAAAATACTATCTGTCATTAACATCATATAATTTTGCCTATCAGAACAGCAGACTATCATAACTAAGCACTGGGTCATCCACAGGGTGGTATCTTTAGCTAACACCCTGCCATTGCAGGATTATGTCATGAACTACTGGATGGACAATGGGGCCCCAGCTGAGAAGCTCATCGTTGGATTCCCTGCCTATGGCCACACCTTCATCCTGAGTGACCCGTCCAACACTGGCATTAACGCCCCCACCTCTGGCGCTGGTCCTGCTGGGCCCTACACCAGGCAGGCTGGGTTCTGGGCCTACTATGAGGTATGTAGATTAGGCTGTGCAATTCTGTGGATTCCATGCCCTGTGCTAAACAGAATGAGTGCTTATTCTGTCTACTGTGTATCTACTTAAAGCACAGCTATCATTCCAAATGCTTCAAGTATTTAAATAAGCTATTCATTTACCTAATCCAGTATGAAGAGCACTTATAATGAACAATATCCCTTCAAGAAACAGACTACATATTTAAGGTCAATTATATTAGCATATAATGGAATAAAAGAACTATATGTCTCATATTAATGTGGGTTCCTAAAATCAAGCATTAAGGATAGGGATAACAGGAATATTTCAAAAGCAACTTGATCCCATTAATTTCAAATAACAACCCATAATTAGAAAACAGGAAAATCCCAATTGAAGACAAGAAAGAAAAATAATCAAAGAGACAAGTGTTTATTTTTTTCCCATGGGAATCATATTTAAAAGATTTGATCTCTTGACTTTTTAAAGATCTGTACCTTCCTGAAAAATGGAGCCACTCAGGCATGGGATGCTCCTCAGGATGTGCCCTACGCCTATCAGGGCAATGAGTGGGTTGGCTATGATGATGTCAAGAGCTTCGGAATTAAGGTAAGGTCAGCCCCTCTGACGTACTGTGGGCCCAAGCATGAGTCCAGGGAAGTAAAATGACCTTTGGTGTCCTTGATCCTTAAATAGGCTCAGTGGCTTAAGGAGAACAATTTTGGAGGTGCCATGGTCTGGGCCATTGACCTGGATGACTTCACAGGCACTTTCTGCAACCAGGGCAAGTTCCCCCTGGTCAACACCCTGAAGAAAGCCCTTGGGCTACAGAGTGCAAGTAAGTGAAAACAGGAGAATGCCAGGGGTAGACAATGACTCCTCTCTAATTCAAAAGGCAGCTCTAACATCTGTCTGCCCCACAGGCCAGAGAGTCACTTCTCATTTCACCTCACTGCTCTTGCCCACTGAGACACACAGGTGCTGCATTATTTCCCTACCCTTGAACTCCCAGGTCAGGAATATTATGCTGTTGTGGAAAACTAGGCCTACCTGGGGGGGGGGCATGTTGGCTAAATCTTAAAGGTATGGGAAAGCCCCCAAGAAACTAGGCTGACCTTCAAAATATAAGCATTTTACTTTTTCCTCATTAAAAGTCTCTCTCAGTCCACCTGGAGACTGAACAAAAAACTCTAAGTACTGCTCACATGTTTTTAATCTATAATTCAGGGGAGATACCACATCGCTAAACTTTTTCCAGATTTTTCTCTTAGAGCTTATTGGCTTGCCCCTTATATACCGAGATCCTAGAAAAGTATTTTGGACATACTGGCACCCAGTAATTTTTTTAAAAAGTTGGGACACCTGGGTGGTTCAGTGGCTAAGCACATGCCTTGGCCCAGGGTGTGATCCTGGAGTCCCAGGATCAAGTCCCACATCGGGTTCCCTGCATGGAGCCTGCTTCTCCCTCTGCCTGTGTCTCTGCCTCTCTCTCTTTGTGTGTGTCTCATGAATAAATAAATAAGATCTTTTTAAAAAGTTATTTTGACATTATAAAGGAAGGGAGAACTTTTTGTTTTTTTTTTAATTTTTAAATTTTTTTTATTGGAGTTCAATTTGCCAACACATAGCATAACACCCAGTGCTCATCCCGCCAAGTGCCCCCCTCATTGCCCATCACCCAGTCACCCCAATCCCCCGCCCATTTTCCCTTCCACTACCCCTTGTTCATTTCCCAGAGTTAGGTGTCTCATGTTTTGTCACCCTCACTGATATTTTCACTCATTTTCTCTCCTTTCCCTTTATTCTCCTTCACTAATTTTTATATTCCCCAAATGAATGAGACCATATAATGTTTGTCCTTTTCCGATTGACTTATTTCACTCAGCATAATTTAAAACCAGAGTAGCTTGAAATTGTAGCTTTCCCTGAGTATGGAGTTCTCTTGTGATCTCCTCACTAGTAAGGATCTAGAGCTAACGGCACCCCACCTCCAGACCTTCAGGGCCACTAGTCTCCTCACCTCTAGGAGTCGCTGGGAGCCTCTCCCAGGTCCATGAATCTGTTTTGTGCTGTTTCAGGTTGCACCGCCCCTGCTCAGCCTGTGGAACCCATACCTTCTCCTCCCAGGAGTGGAAGTGGGAGTGGGAGCAGCAGCTCTGGAAGCAGCTCTGGAAGCAGCTCTGGAAGCAGCTCTGGAAGCAGCTCTGGAGGCAGTGGATTCTGTGCTGGAAAAGCCAATGGCCTCTATCCTGTAGCAAATAACAGAAATGCCTTCTGGCATTGCCTGAATGGAGTCACATACCAGCAAAACTGCCAGGCTGGGCTTGTCTTTGACACCAGTTGTGATTGCTGCAATTGGGCATAAACCTGACCTGTCTCCATTCCCGAGTCTCCTTTGCTTAGTACATCTTGCTCCTACCTAGAGTTCTGCAATAAAAGCCATTAGTCAAAACATGAGTGTTTTGGGTTTTAATTGCTTTGGGTGGAAACCTATCTAGATGTCAAAAGACAGGCTGCTCAGGGGGAGGAGGTGGTGAGGAAATGGGAGTGCCAGCAACCCCACAGTCTTCTCTTTGCCTAGGTTGATCTGCATGAAAGTTGGAGGCTGTCAGGAGGAAATGCTTGAATATTTAGTGTTGGGATCGGATGAAGAAGATAGGTCTGTAGCCTGGTGACTGTGCTCTGGAAAGAGCCAGAATGATTCTGTGAGACTTGGGGGCACAGGCATGTGTGGCTTACTCAAAAAGCAGATGCCCAGGGCATTCTGTCCATATCTACTGAGGTCCCCAATCTGGTCCAGTGCCTCCTAGACCAGGTACTGGGAAGATATGTGTAGTGGACTCCTTTGGAGATGTCTGCCCAGCCTGTGGACCAGGAGTGTCCCTTTATTAGGATATTGTCCCCTTCTGCTGCCGTGCTTATACTACATCTTCTCCTACCCTGGTTGGCTGATTGGCTAGGACGGACATCAGACTTAAGAGGGCTAATCAGATTATCAAGCTTTAAAATCTGCAACTGACAACAAGGAATGGCTGTCATACCCTGAGTGGCTTGCCCTGGGATATTTAAACTCAAGAGGTATAGTGAGGGACTGCAGAGAAGGGCAGTTACAGAGCAAGAAGACCAAAGGGGAACTACAGAGAAAAGCCACTATGAGAGATGGAGGACACTCACTGATAGCTTTCCACCTTCTGATTACAGCTCCTTACTGAGACCCAGATGCATTTCTGCATTTGGGCTCTGTGAAGCACCTTCTATCTATACGATAAGTTCCTCTTTGCTGCTTAAGCTGGCTTAAGTTTGTTTTTATTTCAACTAAAAGAATCCTAATCCTAATGTCTCCTATTCTTTTTCTGCCAGACTTAATGTATGTCAAACTCTGTTCTTGGTATTTTACATGTATCTTATTATTTAATTCTCCCAGCCACCATGTGAGGAAGATTAACATTAATTCCAGGAAACTGAAGCACAGAGGAATCAAGTCACCTGCCTGAGATCATATAATAGGTGCAGAGCCAGATCTCAAGCCAGGCAGGCTGGCACCAGGGCTCACAGTCCTAACTTGTATATTTTACCACCTCCCTTCATACAGATGTCAGCGTTCACACAGTAGATGGCCACGTTGGTGATAGTGATGAGGCACAAGCAGCTTTATGAGTAATGATGACACACTCATAAGCTCACAGCCCTTAGTCATTATTATGTGCCAGGTAATATTCTAGGTACTAAAGACATAGTAGTAAATAAGATAAAGACTCTACCCCTATGGTGATTATATTTTGATGCTGAGAGTGTTAGGCAAACAAAGAAATGAGAAAAGTGTAATAATGATAGAAAATGACAAGGGAACAAACGTACTTTTGTTTGGACAGTCCAGGTAGGCCTCTGGGGGGGCGGGGGGCTCCTGGGTGATACAGTTGAATAAGTGTCCAACTCTTGGTTTCAGCTCAGGTCATGGGATCAAGCCCTGGGTCAGGCATGGAGTCTGCTTGAGATTCTCTCTCCCTCACCCTCTGCCCCTCTCCACACCCCACTCAAATAAATAAATAATATTTTAAAAAGGGGGAAAGGCTTCTGTGGGGAGTTCCCAAATGGGATGAGCCTTGATATTCAAGAAGAACCAGTCATTTTGAGATCTGGGAAGAGGGCATTTCAGGCAGAAGTGCAGCAGCTACAAAGTCCTTGAGCTAGAAATGAATGTGGCATGTTAGAAAAAAGACCAGGGTTGCACAGAGGTAGTGAGCAAAGAAAAGAAATAAGGAGGAGTCAGATTACATAAGGTCTTGAAACATGTTTAGAAGTTTGGATTTTGGGGCACCTGTGTGGCTCAGTGGCTGAGCATCTTGCTTCGGCCAGGTCATGATCCCAGGGTCCTGGGATCAAGTCCCACATCGGGCTCCCCACAGAGAGCTTGCTTCTCCCTCTGCCTATGTCTCTGCCTCTCTCTTCTCTCTCTCTCTCTCTTTGTGTGTGTGTGTCTCATGAATAAACAAAATCTTTATAAAAAATAAGTTTGTATTTTATTGTGAATGAGCTGTGGAGCCATTGGAAGTTTATGGCAGGGATGGGGAGGTGGCGTGTGATCTAAATTCACCATTGCGAAGACAGGGCTGGGACAGCATTACAGAATGTGGGAAAATCGGAGAAGGACAAACATTATATGGTCTCATTCATTTGGGGAATATAAAAAATAGTGAAAGGGAATAAAGGGGAAAGGAGAAAAAATGAGTGGGAAATATCAGAAAGGGAGACAGAACCTGAGAGACTCCTAACTCTGGGAAATGAACAAGGGATAGTAGAAAGGGAGGTGGGCAGGGGGTGGGGGTGACTGGGTGACGGGCACTGAGGTGGGCACTTGATGGGATGAGCACTGGGTCTTATTCTATATGTTGGCAAATTGAAACCAATAAAAAATAAATTAAAAAAAAGAATGTGGGAAAATCACACTCATGGTGATTGTAGCTGATGTATTGACTTCTGAGCACTTACATGACATGCCTTGGAGATCAAAAGCATAGATACAGGAGTGTCCTCAATAAGCAGGGGAAGGCAAAAGCCAGTAAAATTGGGTATTATTATTAATATAAACACATTTCTTTTTTAAGATTTTATTTGAGAGAGTATGCGAGCACAAGCCGAGGCAGAGGCAGAAGGAGAAGTAGACTCCCCGGTGAGCAGGGAGCCTGACACAGGCCTCAATCCCAGGACCCTGGAACCCGGGTCCCAGGATTATCCAACTGAACCACGTAGGTGCCCCAAAGTAATTACACTTCTTGGCAAAGAATAAGAAAGCCTAGAGTAAAACAGAGCATAGGAATTTGGGCAGTCTTTTTGGAAGGAGTTTCCATTTAAGTCACTACTATGGCAAATGACACTGAGGAAAGGATATGCAGGGAACTAGACTTGGTGAAGGACATGAAAGAGGCCATTGATCTGAGGAAAAGTGTCTTTGAACAACACAATGACCAGCTGCTAGATCAAAGTGGTTTCCCAGACATACCTTCTTCCAATGCCACTATTTTCCCATAATGATTGATTCTGTCATCATTTCTAGAATGCAAAAACTACTGCAGCCCCCCAAAATGGTGTCTCCCATTTCTCCTGCTACATTTACATATTAACTAGTCTATCAAATGAAAGTTTACCGCACCTGCTACATGCAAGAAGAGGACAGGCACAATCTGGCTCTAGATCTATGAAGGCTCTAACCTCACCTCCTTTGACTCTTCTCATTCCCTCTATTTTACCTAGTTCAGCTTCTTTTTCTGTTTCTTCAAGTAGCCCAGGCATGTTACTGCCTCAGGGCCTTTGCACAAGCTACGACACTCACCTCAGATTTCCATTCGACTTTTGACCTCACTTTCTTCAGGTCTTTCTTCAAAGCCAACTTCTCAGGGAGGCCATTCCTGGCTGCACAACCTAAAATTGAAACCTCCTTATTCCTTCTCCCCTTCCTGTGCTTCTTTTTTCTTGGTACCTGCCATATCATACATATTATATATTTATCATTTTTATTGTCTGCCTCCTTCAGGAGAATTAACCTCTGTGAGGATAAGGATTTGGGTTTACTGCTATGTTCCCATTGCCTAGAGCAGTGCCTGGCATATTGTAAGAGTTTAATAAGTGCTTGTTTAATAAATAAATTAATGAGGACAGGAAGGGAGACAGGAACTAATATGGTGAGTATTCCAAGCAGGACATGAGGTACTTTATATAGGCTATCTCCTGCGTGGTGAATATTGTCCCCATATTATAGGTAAGGAAATTAAGATCTTGTGAGAAAACCTTGCCCCAAATTGTGCAATTCAATTAATAATTAGAAGAAATGATTTTCAAAGTGGGGCCTTTCTGGCTTCCTTTTCACCATGATGCGACCCTTCAGAAAGTAATGTCACAATGACTTGGAGGATTTCAAGGGTGGGGCTGCTGCTTAGCAGCCAGTCTTAGTTATACCCTTCATTTTCTTGGTTAAAGTATTTTTATGGAGTGGTGACTCATGGAGCTATTCTTAAATGAGAGAAAAGAGTCAATTCAAAGGCCTTCTGATGGGGACATCTGGTACACAACTTCTTGGAGATCTTTAAACTCTATACCATCTCATCCATTTGAGAATTTGAGAGACAACAAAGCCATTCCATGGATCACCCATCCATTTCTTTGGAACTTCGCTAATGGTAATCATGTTCTTAAACTCTAGTACATCTATGAAAACTCATTTCTTCAGTGTGGGAGTCTAACCAGAAAGAGATGGTATATCCACAGGATTCCATAAAAGCCCTAATCCAGGCAGGGCTGGGGCAGTGCTCTTCTCACCAAGTCCTGAGCCTTGATAAGAGGTGGCACCCATTCAGATGAAAGGGTAACTTATATACTTATTTATTTATTTATTTATTTATTTATTTATTTATTCATTCATTCATTCATTCATTCATTCCCATAAAGGAACTCTGGGAGTTAGCTGTGGCTCTGGACACAGACGTGGTAGATCAAAAGTGCTTTATCAAAAGTTAAATGCCTTTAACTAGCCTAAATTTTAGGCTAGTCATTTGCTGTGTAATATTTGTCTTGCATTTCTTAAATTCCCATGGTAGCCCTAAGGAGGCAAGAAATAATTAGTGCCATTTTAGAGATATGTCAAGCCTAAGTAGCTTCCACAAAGTCATGTTGCTAGTAAAGGACATACCAGTACCTTTTGGAAACCAGTTGAGAATCTTCAAAGCCTGTGTTCATTCCTCCACCACCAGATGAGAGAAGCTGGTACTTAATAAAGTCTGGAAAGTGGGATTAAGAAAGTCTATGTTCCTCTCCTTCTACCTTCTGAAGACACATCCATTCTCCCGCAGAACCCTTATTCTCTAGATAGAA